AAGCTCCTTGAGGACATTGACTATATACTATCTAAATTTTGCATCTCCCTAGTGTCATTTGCAGGCACTATATTTTTTTCCCTTGGGAGAATGCAGCAAACAGGTTAACTTCATATGTGTTTCCACTCTTTCTTTCTGTGCATGTGGGAGGGGAAAGAGTACTGATTATGGTCTCAAAGTGAGACCAAAGAACATTTTCCATGGAATCCTATCTCTCAAAGACAAGTGTGACTTAAGTTCTCAGTATTTCAATTCCCACAAGACTGTGTGTATAGATAATTATGTGAAGAGGTACAGACTCTGGAGGTTCAACTAGATTTCTAAGAAGATGGAAGTTTAAAAGTGAGATGCATGGGACAGCTGGAATTGCAATGATAGTGTCCAGGAAATATAGAATTCTGGCATGTTCTCAAAATGCCACAGAGCATGCTAGGAAGATATCTAATCTCAGTAGAGTAACAGAGGGCTGCTAGAACAGTATTCAAACAATGAAACAGCAAATGTCTGCACCTATAGCTTCAGAAGACTCTCATTCCAGCTGACTGTACAGAAACCTTAACTCTTCCCTACACTGTATCACAAATTTTGGAAACTATTTCTCAAATACTCTAGGGGGAGGGAAAGGAAAATTGTCCTGCTTGCTCAGGAATATCTGGTGAGATATGTTTTCTATTTCTTTCTTTTATAGTTTTGTCACAATTAATATTTTACTGCTTCAAAGTATAGTTTCTGCCTTGTCTGTTAGTACTGTGGCCACTGGATAGTTAGACCTGAATTTGACACTAATAATTCAGAGTTTAAGTTGTGTGGGAACTTAAGCCAAATTATCATAAATAGGATCATAGGAATATAGATTTAGAGCTAGAAGGGATCTATGAGGCCACTTGGTCCAATTCTCTCATTTTACTGATGAGGGAACTACAAAAAGGATAAATTACTTGCCCTGGCTGACATAGATAGTAAGTATCTGAGGCAGGGTTTGAACCATAATCTTCCTGATTCCAAGTCTAGTGCCCTACCCTCTATGTAGCACATACTTTCCAAGATACTTAAAATTGTCTGAAATAACTCCATGTTGAACTCAAGTCTATGTGAATCTAGAGTTAAGTAGCATATGGGTTAGAATTGTATTATGTTCTTCATAATTTTTGCTGTTCACACTTCAGTGCTTTCACATATTTTCTCATTCCTATACTATCTTTCCTTCTGACTATAATACCTTTCCCTCTTTTCTTCTACTAGTCATGTTCCATCCTTTTTCCCTTTTTAATAACACAACTTAAGCTCACTTCCTCTCACCACTCTTGCCAACTCTTGGAGGCAGTATAATAGATACAGTGAAAGAATTATTGAATTTGGAAGGACAGAAGCTAGATTTAAACCCCAGTGCTGCTATTTACCACCTGTGTTACCTTGGACAAATCATTCAATTTTTCTAGTCCCCAGTTTCCTCACTTGGAAAATGATTTCTAAGTTCTTTCCTAGCTCCAAATCCACAATCTTATGAATTTCTTAGTGTTAACATTTGGAATATATGGACTTTTTGGTCATAGTCATACATTCTTATATTTAATATTATCTCATCTATTAATCAAGAGATATCTTTATGTGCCTGGCACAGCGCTAAACATTGTGACGTGCAAAGAAAATATGGGATTAGAGAATTTAGAGCTAGAAGGGGCTCTAAATATCATATAGTCTAAACTCTTCGTTTACAGATGAGAAAACTCAGGCTTAGGGAAGTTAAGTGACCTGTATTGCACAGATGGGTACCAAGTAGTAGAGTGCCCTTCAAACTCAACTTCTCTGACTACAAATCTGGTTTTCTTCTCTTTCAGCATCCCACACTATTTCCACTGATAAGACCTAATTCCTAACACAAATAGTTTCTAATCTTATTGTGGAGATAGAACAATGAAAGGATTAATGAATAAGACAGCATTATAAGTAACAACATTGCATACTAAATTCTGATTACTTAGAAGGTCTGTGACCCATTCCTGTATTGTGTAGAATCACTCCAGGTTCCATGGGATATTTCATAACATGGGTGACTCAAGGATATGTCAGATTCCTTTACAGACAAATAGTAATTGATACTATCACACATTCCTTTTCTGGGCACCTGTGGGAGAAGAAAAACAGGTGAAACTCTCACCTCTAAAGTAAAAGGTTGCAACTGTGACTTACGTCGTATATGTGACTGGGGCCCCCTAGTGGTCAAATTCAAATCTTTTTTTTTTTTTTTGGATGGGGCCCAAGATTGGGGTGGTGGGGAATTAACTACAGGAAGATAATATCCTTCATTCTGGAATGCTAATAATTCTAATAGTTTCACACTTCATTAAAGGCCTTGATTCTGCAGTTTCTAAAATGAATATTAGGGCTTCATATTACAGGAATGAGAGTCAATTTTCTCTGGTGAGGCTTAGGTATGCATTGGGAGCTCTCACTTTCTCTATAGAATCAAAGTGAATGTATGGGACCAGAATATCTTATCTGACATCACTTCACAAATAGGAAGCATTGACAGAGATTCTTTTGGATTTCATTTGTTTAAATAATAAGCAGAGTTGGATGGTAGTTCCTTATTTTGACCAAGTAAATCTAAGAAACTATAATATTACATGAGAACGTAACTAATATTTTTGTACATAATGCATTTAATTAATGCTAGGAAAGCATTCATACAAAATAATAGATATTTACTGCACTAAAAATTTCTTTTAATTAATTTTTTTTTCTTTAGCATTTGCCATTTAAAATAGAGCTCAATACTCCGTACCTCTTCATTTCACCATTATTAAATACATTTAAATATTACAGAAGTTCAGCATTGTAGTAAGTCCTTTACAAAGAAAATCAAACACAATTTCCATCCTATAGTCATTTGTAGTCTAAAGTACATGTAAACATGTATGGAGGACATGGCTTGGAGTAGCCTGGTCAGCCTAACAAGGTGAAAGCATGAAGAAACACATTGCTTCAATTGTGTTTCCTTGATGGGTGTGGACACCCTTTCATCAAAGACACAGAACCAATGCCCCAAATTTTGGTTTGTTATGGTTTCAAGGGTATATTCACACTCATTGTACCTCCTATGTAGGAAAAAAAAATACAGCTGAGTAAACCTTGAATACATGCAAAAGATAAATATTGAAATGCAATCTTGATATTGTCAACTATGTCAAAGTGTTTTGCACAATGAGCTTTAGAAAAGCATTTCAAACAATCTACAAAGTAGTAAGTAAAAAAAGTTACTAGACCCTGTTGTAAAAGTTAGTTTTATGTCAATAAAAATAACAAATCAGCTAATCATTTAATAAGTATTTATTAAGCATCTGTTATATATCAAGCACTGTGCTGGGTACACAGACACAAAAATGAAAGTACCTAACCTTAAGAAGTTTATGTTTTTTCGGGGAGACAACATGTACACATATAAAATTATATATAAAATACATACCAAATTAATACAAGGTAAATTTTCTAGGTAAATTTCTTTAGCACCTAGGAGGTTCAGGAGAGGTCTCATGTAAGAGATGGCATTTGAGCTGTACGTACTTTGAAGGAAACTAGAGACCAAGAAGTGGTGATAAGGAGGGAGTGTATTCCCGACAAGGGAGTCAGACTGTGTAAAGGCTTGGATATGGAAGATGGAATGTAGTGTGTAAAGAATCAAAAGAAAGTCAGTTTGGCTTGACTTGAGGGCTAGGAGATTTCCACATACATACTTTTGCTGCCTTCCTGAGGATGCCTCTCCTCCCATAGTATCTTTATCTCTCCTTTGCACTATCTCAATACATTTTAAAGAAGTAACCAAAAGTTGGGGCTGATATATCCCACATGTAATCATTCTTACCTAGAATGACCTCCCCTCTCTATATCCATATCTCTGAATGTACAGCTCAGCTTCCATCTCTCCCATAAAACTTTCTCTGACACCTCCAGCGCTTCATATTCTTCTTTTCTGAATTTATTGGTCTCTTATTGTTTGCTGTTGTTTTACTTACTTTATTGGCCCAATCAATTTGACTGCCCCCAATTACTTTATCTCTCTTTTTAAAAAATTATTTAAAAATTAATAATACGGTCCCTGCCCTTCATCAATTGTAAGCTCCATGAGGGCATGGGTTGTTGCGATTTGTCTTCACAGCCCTCCTGCCTAGTACATAATGGTACTTAACATAGGGTTGTTGAAATTGCCCGCTCTTGTGTAAAGCAAGAACAATGCCTTAACCTTCTCTAGAAGACCCTTTGCGGCTCCAAACAGAGTTATGATTAAGTCTTTAACTGATGTAGGACATTCTCAAAGTGTGGGAAACAGAACCTTTCCCCAGGTCTAGAGGGGAGATGTAGTGAGTGGGCCAGTGTTCCCTCTTTTATTCAGGTCAGACAGCGATGTTCTGCCTTTGATCAGAGTGCCTGTGGAAGCGACATCTGTAAGAGGGGCAATCCAGCCTCTAATTCTCTTCTTGCCTAGCTCTCTGCAGCTCAGGAGTTACACATGAGCCCATTCTTGGCGAGAGTTCGTGAGGTGACTGCTGGGGAGAGAGAGGATGGGAGGTGAGATTTGTGGAGAGACTGGCTTTTTTCTCATCATCACAGGTCTTCTCTCTCCCCCCTATCCTTGCCTTTCAGAGCTATTTGCGAGGCCTTAGGTTTTGCCCCGTGGGAAGGCGCAGAAGACCCTAGGTATGGCTTCAGATGCACTGTCCAGCCTTCCACGGGCTGTTCTCCTGCATGCGCATGCGTATGCCCATGTTTTCCTTCCCTCCCTTTCTCTTTTCTGTGCTCCATCCTACTCCTCCGACTCCCCCTCCTCCCCACGCTTGCCCTCCCTCTCTCTCTCTCTCTCTCTCTCTCTCTCTCTCTCTCTCTCTCTCTCACCCGGGACTGAACAGTGTAAGTAGCGCGTGGGAGGGGGGAGTGTCGCCCCGAGGTCACGTGACGCGAGTACAGGCGACTGGAGCCGCGGGGCGGGCTCCCAGGCTGTCAGAGTGCAGCAGTCTCCTCTTGCTCTTGACGGCCCGTGGATCCTGCTCGTCCTCTGCGCTGTGACAGCGGCTTCTCGCTCAGCTCTGCTCGCGCCGCGCCACCGCTGCAGCCGCATCTCCATCAGCATCCCCATCACCCCGCGACTCGGAAGGAGGAGAAGCAGGAGCAAGGACTAGGAGGAGAAAAGAGCCAGGAGGCAGCTGCCAATCACCTCCGGTTCAGCTCCCTCTGGGCTTGCCAGAGTCTGGGTAGCCGCCAGCCTCTAGCCTCCCTGCCCCTGCCAGGGTCTCCGCCACCACCACCACCTCCGCCGCGGCTGCTGCCTCTGCCCCGCTGCCGCCACCATGGGGCTCCTGGACTCGGAACCGGCGCGCATGCTGGATGCTGTGTCCACCGCGGTCAACGATACCATAGAGTTCTACCGATGGACCTGGTCGATCGTAGGTAAGCGCGCTGTCCCTTCCCCGCGCGCCGCGGCCGCCCGCCTTCTCCCGCATGCTCATTCCCTGCCCCCCCATCCCCATCCCCATCCCCCACGAACCTGCAGCCCAAAGAGAGCCGAGAGAAGAGGGAGGAGGCAGTGTGGCTCTCCCTCCCTTGGTCTCGAACTGCTGCTCCATCCTCCCTCGTTTGGCCCTTCCTATCCACCTTCTGCATTGAGAGAACACCATCAAAATGGCCTCAGAATCCTCTACCTCCACCAGTCACTGCAGAAGTGGCTGAGCCCCTCCTCCCTCCTTTCCCCTTCCCCCTCCCCCCTTTCCCCCTTCTCCAGAGATCCTCTCTGTACTTTCTCCTCTCTTGGCTCTGCATTTTTTTTTTTTTTTTGAATGATCCAGTGCATGTCCAACTCGGTTTTACTGCAGTCATTTAAAATGGATTATCTATTCTTCACACTTAGTTCGGTACGTCACTATGATTCTGTCTCTTGTCTCTCTGGTGTCTCTGTGTCTCTGTCTCACTCTCTCTGTCTCTTGGAGTCCGTTTCTGTCTTTCTGTCTCTGTCTTTATCTTTATCCATTGCTCTCTCTCTCTCTCTCTCTTTCTCACGCGCGCGCGCGCACACACACACACACACACACACACACCACGATACCATGTCCCATATCCCAGGAGCTTCTGACATTGAGCTTCTATCACCCTTATCAGTTCTAGTAATAGAGTTGAAATATTAGATTAAGGTTTTATATGCAGTGTCCCCTAGAATTACAGGTACTAAGTGCTCATTGCATTAACTGCCCCACCCTTCCTTCACTCCCAAATCTTCTGATCTCATCTGACAAGTCTACTTTGTACACAGGCTTAATTTAGTATTTAAATAGAAAAAAAAAATAAACCCACAACCTTTCATGACAGTCACAAGAGAAAAAAAGAAAATTTGGTACCTAGGAAAGAGTCGTTAGTTTAAGTGTCTCCCAGATTTCTTTAGAGTCACTTGAATGTTCTTAGTGGGCTTTGTCTTCTAGTTAATCTATGCCATTATAAGTTGAAAAGAAAAAGAAAACAACCCATTTAGACTGTCAACTTTAAGGATTGTGATTTTCTGAAGATTTTTCTATGGTAAATGTTCTTGAATTGACTGTTGATTTCTGTGAGCACTGCAGTGCAGGAATGTGCAGTGAGAAAGAAGAAATCTTGAAGGGTTATCTCTTTTTGCTGACACTTCATCAAATACATCCACATAGAGACTAATTGAACACATCATCAAACTTTTCCTAGCTGTGTTGTTGCTTTGTCACAACTGTCATATTTGTAATTTACACTTCTTTGAAAGAAAAAAAGTGATAATTTTACACTGGCATCTGTAATGATCTTTGATGAATCATATCTAAAATTCTTTAAAATATTAAATGGTAAAAGCCTTCTTAAAATTTCTTTTAAAAATATGTTTTTTTAGAAGTCTTCAAGTTTTCTTAGTTTTTTTATAGTACAATGTCATTAATACATTGAGAAAAATTACATAATTTCAATTAAATACTCATTAAATGCAAAGTACTATGTTAGGCAATAGGGAAGATATAAGCTGTACCCTGTCATTTGGTCTTTTACATTAAGATATTTCTGCAACCTATTTGTAGAGGCAGAGAAAATGACAGTTGCAAGACAAGTAGTATAATAAACTGGATGTGATACAGGAGATTTGTACAGAACCTTCATGATGGGGACTATTTCTGTGAAACTAGATAAGTAAAAGGACATTTTGATATTCATTCTACTATGACTATTTTAGAAGAAAAATTTTTTTTTCATATAGGTCTTAATGTTCAATTATAAGTTTAAAACATTTTGATTTTGTAGAAACTTACTCATTTGTTAGTTGTGTTTACTTCTGGCCCCCTGGTCCCCCAGGACAATTTTCATTGAATTCATTTTCACCATTTTCAGGATTAGATATTTTAAAAAAAAACAAGCAATATTCTGCTGAAATGGTTTAGTTTTCTTTTAGCTGTATTTTTAATATAGCACTTTACTGCACTGACCTCATACTATGCTTGGGAGAAATGGGAAAATATTTAAAACCTCCATTGTTGCCTTACTATTGCCCTTGTGTAGATTACATCAGGTTCTTGTATACAGTTGTGCAATATTGTTCATGGCATATTCTTTAGCAAGTAATGCAATAATTTGTGCTTTGCATATTTGGGAGTTATGAATTAACTAGGTATACAGGGCACTCCTCAAGTCCTAATATCTACAACAGCCACACCTGTATGTTTGGCTTTATCTTTCTTTCCCTTTTCAGTCATAGAACTTGCCTGAGGAGTAGTGGATTTCTACTAACTAATGTTCTTCAAGAGAAGGCTAGATTACCCACAGTTTGGAGTTATTAAAAAGGCCAATCTTGGCCAAGTTAAACTAGAAGGCGTTTAAGGTGTTTTCTAACTCTAGATTCTTGTCTAGACAGTTTGGGCTGGATTTAAGGGGTAAGAAAAAAGGTAGGATGGGGAGTGTAGAGAAAATTTAGTTCAGTATTCTTAACCTGTGGTCTGTGAACTTTTTTTTTAGAAAAAATATTTTGATAATTCTATTTCAATGTAATTGGTTTCCTTTATTCTAACATGGGGTCCATGACACAAAAATGCTTAAGAACCACTGGTCTAGGTTATCTGCCTAGTTAAGTTTGTACACAGACTACATGTTTTCTGTGTAAATAACTTCCACTGAAGGCATCCTTCTCTACCATAAATATTATGCATAGGGCTGTTCTTTCTTATATGTAATCATTGCCTACACCTTAAAAATGATAATCCTTTGTTGGAATAAATGGTGGGTTTTTCATTCTTTCTTATCTAATAGGAGGTGAAGGTACTCCCTGGTGCTTAGGCTATCTACTTACAAAACCTGAGACATGCTTACTTCCTGGAATCAATTACCCACCAGTAATCAAGATGGGGTTTCTGAATTGAAGTAGATACGTAGGGGTATACTTTCTTAATAGATGGATTCTATTCTACCCTCCTGTACTAAGAAAGGTGTTTTCCAGGTCCAACCAGAAGAATATATGGAATATACGTGGCCTCACATAATTTTTTTTATCTCCTATTTCTAATCCTTCATCACTTATCTCCCCATCCCCCATTTAACTAGGCTGTACTCTCCTGCTAGTCCCATTCACATTGTTCCTATTCCAAGAAGATCAGCTCTGGACATAACTTCATTGAGTTCTAGAGAGAGTCAAAAGGAAAGCCAAATGTTGGATGGGGGGGGGTAGTTTGAAAAAAGTTGGTGAGTTAGCCATTTGGAAATAATAAAAATGGTTGGAATGAAAGGTTTTAAGAATAAAGATATTAGAAGAAATGTATGAGAGAAAAAAGAATTTAAACTATTTTCAGAAAAATTAAGGTATCCAACGTAGTCTCCATGGCATTGAAGTACTTTAAATTTAATATTCTTTGGCATAATTTGTATTTTTTTAATTCTCCCATTATTCACCCTTATAAGACTTTTCCTACCAGGATTTCCAAATCTTTCTCAAATTTCTACTTACACTTAAGTTCCATCCTCTTTCTTTCCTACCAGGAGTAGAAGATTTCTCCCTAGCTAAGAAATTCCGTCTTAAAGAAAATCGGCATTTTCAGCATAAAAAATCTTTAATATGTTAATAGATCATATCCAAAATTGTTCTTGAAAGCAAGTCTCTTCTAGGAACTATGTATATAGAAACTTTAAAATATAGTCTATGTTGACTTTTTAAATCTTATGGGTTTTTTCTGTTCAATTATTTTCCTAGAAATATATCTTTTGAAAGCCATCTTTCAAACTCATGTATATTTAAAATTTAAATTGTTAATTAGCATTATGATATACTACTTTTCATATAAACTGCAATTGTACAACAAAAGATTTTAAGGCTGGCCACACTGACTGTAAGAAGAGTAGTGTTCTCTAGTGGTAAGAGCAATGATTTTGTAGTCAGGTGACCTCAGTGACTCCTGGCTCTGGTTCTGGAAAAATAATTTAACCATATTCATCAATTAAATTGGGATAATCATCATTTTACCAATTAGCTTATAAGGAGATTGTAGAGGAAGTTCTTTGTAAATCTAAATTTGCTATATAAACATGAGTTATTATTACTATCACCACCAGACTGTTTTGCCCTAACAAACATTCTGTATGTGCAAATAACTGTCCCATTCTATGACATGGACAATCCTTCTTGAATAGCAAAAAAGTGTTACCCAAATTACCACATGCTGTTCTCTGAGTGACAATGATTGCTACACTCAGAGTTGAAGGCAGTGCCTTACATACCCGTGAGATCATGCAATACTTCAGATACGAAGGTGAGAAAATTTTGAGTTTGGCCTTTAAGAGTAGGTAGGATTTTTTTTAACTAAATATTTTATCAGAAACTTAACATTAAACATTAATATAAACAATTATATTTATGTTCCTCAATCTTTTTTGCTAGCTGATCATTCATATGATGGCCCCTAAGTGTAGGTGTTTCCCAAGGTTCTGTCCAAGGCCCTCTTCTGCCAAGCACTCTATCTCAGCAACTTCATCAGCTCCTATCTGTATGCAGATGATTCACAGACTTCTCAGGCTCAGCATGCCCATAACTGAACTCATTACCTCCCCACCTTCTTCTTAACCCTCTCTTTTTACAAAATTTCCCATTGGTGTTAAGCTTTAACTCCTCACTTTCTTTCACCCTACAAATCCATTCTGATGTCAACTCTTGTCATTTCTACCTCCACATCTCTCACTTGTGACCCCTTCTTACCACTCGCATAGCTAGCATCTTAGTTCCAACTCTCATCTTCTCTGACCTAGATTATTGCAACATCCTCCTAATTGGTCTTGCTTCTCCCAGGTCTTTCACCTTTGTAGTCAGTCCTGAATACTATTGTCAAAGTAATTTTCCTTGACTGTTGATCTGATCATGTGACTTCTATTCAATCTATTCCAATGACTTCCTGTTGTCTCTAGGATCAAAT